CAACTCCGTGAGCCAGAAGCTAAAATTAGAACCGAGTCCGAGTTCTCAGACAAGCTGCTGCATTCCTCCAGACATTTCTTGGGAAACATGACACTCTGCACCAAGAAACACTGTATTTAATTCAGCAACCTGGAGAGCACAGTGCTAAATACAGTTAAAGAAAAAACACAACCCAAAAAAACCCCAGAGGTCCCAAAAAAGCTCAGGTAGCACTGGTAAAGCAAACACGCTGAGAGGAGGAGGACAGTGTTTCGACGCTCCCAGAAGGGGCACCAAGCTCATGTTTGCATTGAACTCAATTAAGAAGCAGGATCTTTTATGTGATCATAGAGGGCGTTACCTTAACAGCATTTCCTCTGATGAACTTCTTGATGGTCGAGAACAAGCCCCTCCCTCCGCTAGTAGGAGTATCCTCTTCTACTTCTGAATGCCTCCGCTTGGTACGAGATGGGCGGCTTGCCAGACTGGGGTTCGGCTGCTGAGACGCCTTACGCATTCTCAGCCTCATTGTTTTAGCAGTCACATGTAAGGCTGTTTCAAAAAAAAAAACAACAAACAAACAAAAAAAAAAACATCAGACACAGAGAAAGATGACAAGAGGATATCAATACAACTGTTACCGTCAAGGAAACACATTAAAGCAAATACTCACATATTAAGATGGACAAACAGGTTGTTCCAACAGTAAATTGTTTTAACTTAAAAATGGATAAGTCTATGAGGTGTATCTGTCTGTAGTTGGGTAATACTGGTGCATTTTCTGCTAACATCTGGATGCATTCAAGATCCCATTTCACTTACATCACAGTGGATCACAGCAGCCGCAGCTGGCTTTACTTCTGTTCGTACAGTACAAAAAAAATGCCCGGGACTTTACTATACACACACACACACACACTCAGTCCTTATTATTAGCTATGTACATGCAAGAATACAAGGTCATTGTTTAAATCTAAACATTTTTTTAAGATGCACTCAAAACCTATGTGAAGGAATAAACTACTTATTTCTAAAGTTGAGGGATTTAATTGGCCGGAGTTGTCATCGAGTATGCACGGGGAAACGTAAAAACTGTTCACAGTGAACATGAAATGTCAGTCAAGCATGCCAGCCCCTTGCGCTTACGTAACAGCAGCTGGCTGAAAATGTGTCTGGACATATCCACAACCTGTCAGGAACCCTAAACACACAATAGCAGCCTCTCAGTACATACTGTAAATCCCCTATACTGTAAATGTCCTTCACTACATCTGCTTTACATTTACACAGGGGTGTATCTGTGAACACACCAGAGGTGTACGGTGCTGTTGCTCAATCGCGCGAGCCCAAAAACACCAGTGAGTGCTTCAACAGGGTACATGGTAACAGTACAGTAACAGGCAGGCAGGGTAAGTGGGACAAGCCTGAATGCAAATTTAAATGAATATCAATTCACTAGTTTAAGATGGATACACTTCCTGATATTACAGCATGCAACATAGCCCTTCAATAAATTCTGATTAATGGGTGCTATTTAAAAAAATGTTGGCTACACTAAAAAAATCTATGTAGAAGAGATTTCACAACACAACTCAAGCTGAAAATGACAATCCAATTTCTGGTTTTCTGAGATCATTTTAGAAAATACAGCAAGTTTTGTGTACTTTTAAGTTAAAAAACTGATTAAGCACTGTACTATTGATCTTTGGTTAATCTGAAAATGCCTTGGTTTTGCAGCTTTTTTAAGAGATCAGATTTACAGAGAAACGTAATTAGTACAACTTCGAGCTATTAAAGCTTTTCAGTTAAAATTGCCAATTGTTATTCTGACAATAAACTGAGAGTGTAAAAATGATTTCCCCATAGCCAGTCACTGTATTCTGACCTGGCAAGAAGCTATGCAAAAAAATGTTGCCAGCGTTTCCTTATTGAATCAACCACCTGTTATTTTGGATTAGCTGCGTCTTTTTTTCTTAACTACTCACCAAACATTTTATACATATAGTGTTTAACAGTGTCTTTGGGACTTCTGTTCTTAAGTCACTGTAGAAGAGGACCTACATACAACAAAAACATTTTACAATTTGAATATAGACATCTCAGCACTGGCATTGTCCTGCATAAGTTAATTCATTCTGTTTGTATTTGACAAGAGCCTCTTATTTTTTTAAGTTCGGAGCTGCGCTACTCAAAATGCTATTTTGCAGACTAGACAGCTGAGTTTGACTTCCTTATCCAATCCTTAATTATTCTAAACCAACTTGAAAAACGACTTGGTCTACTGCCCAACAAAATCTCCTCTTCTCTTATATTATGCAGGAAAATAACACCTATTACCACAACGACACTTGTATTTTTAATGACATAATCGTGTTAAGCTACACTCAGGATGGAAAAAATAGGAGGAACAAAAGCCTTGAAGGAAAAACATTGGTGAGGTGCAAAATATCCCACAGGCTGTCCTATATCGATATCATTGATGGTGTCGTTGTGACCACTGTTTGTCTTTGCTGTTGCACTGTTTGCATGCATTTGGTAAATGTGCTCAAATTTCTTAACACTTCCTCCTCATCACATTATAGTTTTTGTAACTGATGCATCAACGGTTAAAGCTGTAATAATCTGGACTCTTGTGCCAATGCATTTCTTTGTAACCTGATAAGAAAACAAGCATTCTCACTGACCCTTTACTGTGTGAGATTGCCTCTGTATTGTGATGTGATTGAGTCTATCATAAATAAAATTTTACAAAGGTCATTTCTACAAATATTACATTATACCTATTAACTGTACTTAATGCTACTTAGTGTTTTCTGTTTCTCCTCTCCTGCTCGTATACATTGCAAATGTATGCATGTACAACACACAATGTTTTCCGGTTTCTTCTAAATAAACATCCAAACGGAGTGCCTGTTATATTTACTGTGCGATTAAATCTTGCCCCGGCTTGCATAGCAACAACACCATGGCTGCTAAACATCCACCTCTCTAGGATATCACCCACTAGCCAAGGATCGTGCACATAGCTAGGTACGAGCAAGTGAGCGGGAAATAAGAACATGCATGCCACTGAGACTGTATGAGCGAGCTAGCAAAACGTTAGCCATGGAAACACAGCGGAGAAACAAGTAGGGCCTCGCTTGATAGACAGCCCGTTCCCTCTGCGAAAATTACTGCGAGGCTAAGGTTGGCTAACTGGCTAGGGTATATGCTTTAGCCTCTTATTGGCTGAAGCAAATATCCTAACTAATAAAAGTAAATACATTAGAAAAAGGCAGATGACACATTTGGTGCAGCAGCCTCACTTGTGCACGAATCAACGTCTGTAAAAGTTGCACTAAATAATCATGACTACCAAGCTTTGCAGCTAACAGAGCAGCTAGCTCGACTAAGCTAACGCTACCTAAACGAACTACGGGAGGTCGTGTGTTAAGGTGTCAGGGGTTATAAGGGTGTGCAACATAGCAAGGGATAACTACTGTATATTTAAACACTGTCACATTGAACAAATGGTGCCTAAAGGTGTTGTTATGTGACACTGTTAACACAACACGGCACTCACTACCGTTAGCATTTCAACAAGGCGAGATCAAACAAGCTAACTTACCGTCGGTGAGCCAGTGCGGCATCGTAAATAAAACAAAATAACGTTTAAACGATTAACTCAAGTGAGGAACACTAGCTGGCTAGCTGGTGTTAAGTTTGCTGAGCAGGTTGACTCGACTGTCTCCTCGAATTAAATACATAATTGTCATTTGCGTTATTTGGGAGAGAAACTCGTCAGACATCGTTAATCAAAACAGCTAGCTAACACAGTGATGTTATCCAAATTATCTGCTGATCCCGTCGACGTTATCTTTAAAATGCAGTTGATGGGATTCAAGTCATCTATTGTGGTACTCTAACATGCCTAATCAACAACCAGTGAAAGGATATTAAAATAGAAAGGACGGAGACGGAGTTAGCCAGCTAATGTAAACCTAGCGTTAGCAAAGTTCAGTTGAGGAATGCCAATTTGGAAGACGTTAGCATCAAAGGAAGCTAACTAGTCAGCACTGGCGCTACTTTTCATTAACTGTTCTTTGTTTAAACAAGACATTGTAGATATTTACACTTTCTATGATAGGTGTTGTAGCGAGTATTTGTTGAGTGTGTTATTTAGAATAGACAACAGGTAAAAATTAACTAAATGTCGAGTCAACCAGGAATTAGCGAGTCCCGCGGTAGGCCGTGTTTTAGCTGCCCTTAGCTATGCGACTTAGCACCGCTAGCTTAGCGTTAACCCTACCTAGCCTTCTTGAAAAATTGCTTCGGGCTAACAGATGTGCACAGGCAGGGAAGGAAAATATTTATCCTGTCGTTAGCCAACATTACATAAACCGCAAGCCAAAAGAAGACAAATGAACGAACAAGGTTGGTTGCGTCCCCGACTTACTTTACAGTGATCCGCAGTGTCTGGCGATGAGGACTCAAGACCGATTAACCATCACAACAGAGGCAGCGGTTGTTTTCGTGATCTGATCCGACTTTTTCTGTGTATCTACTCAAGGGCCGTCTCCGAAACGACACATCGTTGTGTTACCAGGCGCCATTTCCCGCCTCTGCTCAGTCTCTCCAAGGCAGATACCCGTATGGGACACAGACACACCCCCTTACCTCTGAAAAACACCAGCCAGTCCGCAGCGAAGACTACCACTTGTCTTTTTCTTCTTCATTGCTTTGATTAAGGTAGAGGACTGCCCGTCTTTGTGGCGGTAGTAAATGACTTAATATTAAAACAATGAATCGGGCATGTATGCATTTCTTGCTGAATATACTCAACATATGTTTTATCACTACTGAAAAGAAAAGCACAGGACATTTAATTATGAACTGAAGACATTGAGGTGCAAAGCATCCTGCCACCTTTGCAAATAGAAAACCTCCAAACATTAAAAAGCTGCATCACCTGAGTAATCCATACCCCTACAAACTAATCTCTACATCTACATTGACTCTAAAGCACTATCACAACTGACAAATGACATGAAGCATCACCTTTAATAAAATTAAATTACATTCAATGTGCCTTTCCATGAGAAATCAATTTTTCCTGGCTGCACAAACAGAACTGATTTCATGTTCACGGATTTCCCTAAAAGGTGAGGATTCAGGTGTCCTCAGTACAAATGGTAACAGTTCAACTACATTATGTACAAGAGACCTCATTAATGGAAGCATGTGTACAGTATGTCAGTTCTATATGTGCTTGGTTAAATCTTTGCACACTGTGGAGACACTAACATCGCTCTAAGTATTGCTTAAGTATCAGTATTTTGCTCAGTTTGATTATTAATAAAATGTTTCAAATGCATGCAATGGCATTAAAAAGAAAAAAAAAATGAGGAGCACTTTCGAGTGTCTGTCACAAAGAAAAGAAATTGATTTAATAGGCCATAAGCAAAGTCCTTGGCATTGGCAATGCATTCCCACTCCTGTAAACGAAAAATGGTCTTCCGTGTAAAAGTCCCAAAATCATGTTAGAAAGGCAGAATGCCAAAAAGTTAGTCTCTTTGATAAACATCTCAGATGAAACGTTTTTTTTTCATATATATCAAGAAACAGCAACCTGAAAAGAAAAGTAGCAAAAACAAAACAGTTTGACCTTGAAGCTTGGCTGTGAGTCAACAGGGCTCTTCCGGATCCCTCCATTATGAACTGAGGCAGTTATCAAATAAACAACAGTCAGCATACAGTACGTCATCTCTACTGCCATAACTTAGAACCATTAGCAAATCAACAGCAGCTCAGGACAATGCCATGATTTTTTTTCTTCTTCTTTGTAATATAGTTATTCAGTATTAATTCATTTGTTGCAACGTCTGTCAAAATAGTCCGTGACATTGAGGATGCACTCTATAAATTCTTAAACATAATGATGTTCAAACTATTTTCTCAAGAAAAGACCTTGATGGTAGAGAGGGAGGTCGGGATATTTTTAATGAGTTAACGGCTGTGTGAGTTCCCATTCAAAGAATGTCAATGGCCTGATGTCTTTTCCCATAATCCACAGCCCGGTCTCCCTGCATGTCCCGATCATCATCATCTGGAAGAAAAGACAGCAACACAAGCATTAGAGCTTAAATATGAGACAATACACTTAAAGAAGTGCTGTAACCATACTCCTTTATCAGATTAAAACTGCAGATTAAAGTGCTGACTTTATGCTTTAACAGAAAGGATGTTCATGTCCATCGTGTGTGAGCAACGTAGGACTCACAGCCCTTCTTATGCATGTGTTAATCTGGAATAAATTATTGAGAAGGCACATCTATTTTTGGGAGGAATGCCTCATTCATAAATCTAGCATATTATTAGCTTCCTTGTTGGTCGTTATAATAACAAGGACATCCGAGATTTTTATTGAAATCCTACTGTGAACAAGCTAAACAGTTAACCACAGATATAACATAAAAATGACAAAACACAGCCATGAAACAAAAATAATATTTTACAGTTGTATCATATATTAAAAATCTAATCTAATAAGCAATCAGAAATTCATGTCAGGAAACAATAACCAAGACAAAAACATGCATTTCAATATTTCAAGGAGAACACAGACACATTAACAAACACAGTGAGCTATATTTATCTACTGGTCTAGATGTGGGTCAGATGTTTGGTGGGCACAGACAGGTGGTATCGCTAAAAAGAAGCACAGGCAGGAGAGAAAATACTAAATGGCGACTGAATTACTCTCACAGAACCGTAAGTTGCTGGGTCAAGTTTTCCCCATTCACGGGAGAATAGGAAGCTAGGACTGTTACTGTGCCTATACAGCACACAATGCCTGACACAATTCAGCTCATTCTGAACTGCACACACAGCAGTCCTGCTTTGACCCTGAAGGTGTTTTGGTTATGATTCATTGAATAGCTGTAGTTTATGATAAATTCAAGGACCAAACTCAGGGTGCTGTGAGCTACTCTAATTGTCGGGACAGATGCAAGGGGGGGGCGGCAGCAGGACAGGGGTGGAGGGAGGGAGCAAGGGAGGAATGGTGGATACACATCTGGACAGGCAGTCCAGTCTCCCGGCCTGGCTCACCTTGAACGTCTTCCTCCCCACCATCACCATCCTCTTCCTCATTGTAGGCCAGCTCGGCCTGCTTGTCGGCCTCATACTCACCCACGTTCCCATCATCCCCATTGTAGTCCGCTAGCTTAGAGCCGTGTTGCGGATCTACTGGGGACTCGTTCTCATCAAAGAACCGGCCTGCAGGAGGCAGAGAAGGGCCTCATCAGGAAGGGAGGGAAGCGGAGGCAGTTGTAGGAAGACAGGGAGGAGTGGGTGAAATACTGCATAATGAATGCATGAAGGAATAAGTGATCGCGTGAAGAGGATGACAAGAGATAAGGAAGATGAGGTGAATGGATACACAGTGGCAGATTGTAATTAGGAGACGAGTGTTTCTGAAGAGTAAAGGAGAGTGAATCATAGACTTGAAAGCAGAGAGCCAAGTGGAAACAAATGGGGTTTTCTTTGTAATGAGGAACTGTTTAAAGTCTGGAGAGCACAGAGCGCTAATTGAGTTACCGGCTTAATCATCTTTACAATCCAATCAATCAAATACAATAGCCCTGCTGTAAATCCTATCTTATGTTTAGCTTTGTTGATTCAACTCAACGGTTTCTGTAAAGAGGCAGTTAACCCAAAAGTCAAAAATGCATATTTTTTTCAACTAAGCTGTAGTGATATTACAATCTAGATTGTTTTGGCTTGAGCAGAGTGTTGGAGATATCGGCTGTGGAGATGTCTGCCTCCTCTCCAATATAATAGAGATAGACAGCACTTAGCTAGTGGTGCTCAAGAGGGCCAAAAAAAAAATACTCAACAGGTTGCTCAAGATAATCCACAGATCTTGTTGTGAGCAGTTTCATGTAGGAACTATTTTCTTCTATTGAACTCCACCCGTCAACCATATCAGCTAGCTCACCTAGCATCACTGAGCTAGCTAACGTTACAGCTCAGCCAAGGAGGACGCCATTAATGTTTACATCTTGCGCTGACATGAGCACGAGCCTCTCATCCGTGAGTAATTCATGCATGATTCATTCTGCATAGTGATACGGATGGTAGGTGTAGTTCAGTAGTTAGAAAATAGTTCCTACATGAAACTGGTCATAACATGGTCTGTGGATTATCTTGAATTACTGGGTCATGATTTCTGGAAAGAGACATTTCTGTGGAGTTTTTCAAATGTATTTTTTGGCGCTCTGAGTATGACAAGTCGAGCCATCTAGTTCCATTATATTAAAGAGAAGGCAGATATCTCTACAGTCGTTATCTCCAACACTTGGTAACTCACAGCAAAACAATCAAGATTGACAAATAGTATGTACAGTACAGGCCAAAAGTTTGGACACACCTTCTCATTCAATGCATTTTCTTTATTTTCATGACTATTTACATTGTAGATTCTCACTGAAGGCATCAAAACTATGAATGAACACATGTGGAGTTATGTACTTAACAAAAAAAGGTGAAATAACTGAAAACATGTTTTATATTCTAGTTTCTTCAAAATAGCCACCCTTTGCTCTGATTACTGCTTTGCACACTCTTGGCATTCTCTCCATGAGCTTCAAGAGGTAGTCACCTGAAATGGTTTTCCAACAGTCTTGAAGGAGTTCCCAGAGGTGTTTAGCACTTGTTGGCCCCTTTGCCTTCACTCTGCGGTCCAGCTCACCCCAAACCATCTCGATTGGGTTCAGGTCCAGTGACTGTGGAGGCCAGGTCATCTGCTGCAGCACTCCATCACTCTCCTTCTTGGTCAAATAGCCCTTACACAGCCTGGAGGTGTGTTTGGGGTCATTGTCCTGTTGAAAAATAAATGATCGTCCAACTAAACGCAAACCGGATGGAATGGCTTGTCGCTGCAGGATGCTGTGGTAGCCATGCTGGTTCAGTGTGCCTTCAATTTTGAATAAATCCCCAACAGTGTCACCAGCAAAACACCCCCACACCATCACACCTCCTCCTCCATGCTTCACAGTGGGAACCAGGCATGTGGAATCCATCCGTTCACCTTTTCTGCGTCTCACAAAGACACGGCGGTTGGAACCAAAGTTCTCAAATTTGGACTCATCAGACCAAAGCACAGATTTCCACTGGTCTAATGTCCATTCCTTGTGTTTCTTGGCCCAAACAAATCTCTTCTGTTTGTTCCCTCTCCTTAGCAGTGGTTTCCTAGCAGCTATTTGACCATGAAGGCCTGATTGGCGCAGTCTCCTCTTAACAGTTGTTCTAGAGATGGGTCTGCTGCTAGAACTCTGTGTGGCATTCATCTGGTCTCTGATCTGAGCTGCTGTTAACTTGCGATTTCTGAGGCTGGTGACTCGGATGAACTTATCCTCAGAAGCAGAGGTGACTCTTGGTCTTCCTTTCCTGGGTCGGTCCTCATGTGTGCCAGTTTCGTTGTAGCGCTTGATGGTTTTTGCGACTCCACTTGGGGACACATTTAAAGTTTTTGCAATTTTCCGGACTGACTGACCTTCATTTCTTAAAGTAATGATGGCCACTCGTTTTTCTTTAGTTAGCTGATTGGTTCTTGCCATAATATGAATTTTAACAGTTGTCCAATAGGGCTGTCGGCTGTGTATTAACCTGACTTCTGCACAACACAACTGATGGGCCCGAACCCCATTGATAAAGCAAGAAATTCCACTAATTAACCCTGATAAGGCACTCCTGTGAAGTGGAAACCATTTCAGGTGACTACCTCTTGAAGCTCATTGAGAGAATGCCAAGAGTGTGCAAAGCAGTAATCAGAGCAAAGGGTGGCTATTTTGAAGAAACTAGAATATAAAACATGTTTTCAGTTATTTCACCTTTTTTTGTTAAGTACATAACTCCACATGTGTTCATTCATAGTTTTGATGCCTTCAGTGAGAATCTACAGTGTAAATAGTCATGAAAATAAAGAAAACGCATTGAATGAGAAGGTGTGTCCAAACTTTTGGCCTGTACTGTATATTTGATTATGGGGTGAACTGTCCCTTTAAGGTTACAAATACGGTAAGTTTGTTGTTTTATTGAACTGCATTTGTAGTGTTTTAACATGTTGTCCACCTCAATTAACATATGTGAAGAGGACAGACTGTTACAAGTGTTTCTACATGTTACATGGCTCCATTTGGTGCAGCCATTTTTACTTTTAACACTAGGTCTTGGGGAAAAAAGATGATCCTGCACACTGCTTTTGCTCACAATTGATTGGTTATACTACTGTTTCAGTCCCTCTGGACCTTTGTCAAGAGTATTTTACTTTCTGAGTAAATACAGAGTATTCTTCTTTTTTAAGACTCAAGTGATATTTTCTGACGCACCTGCATCTGAGATAGTTGGATGTGCGAATATCTCCCTCTAAAAACCTTTTAATGTTGGAAAAGGATAACAATTGTTCTATAAGCAATTAACCAATAGCTGGGATGTGTTAAAATATAAATAGTGTAAAACTAAAAGCAAGAAATTGATGTATTTTTCTGGATGTTGTGGATATGACCAAGTCAATGTGGAACAATGACATTTTTTTACTCATGTAATTTACAATGTTTTCAATTCAAAATACGAACAATGTTTAAATGAACTTTCCTCAAATAGTGTTTTTGCCCTCTGATCCATAACGGCTGCTCAATCTTCATCACACAGGCATCTGATACAGTCTAAGATCCTATCTGATTTCAGATGGCACTGTCGACAACAGGACAGGGTGGGACTTGAGATTCTCTGAGCCACGCAGTGTGAGCTGCAAGTGTCTAGTGAGCGCCACACGCTGCCAAAAACGAGACATCTGGTGGATGTCGGGTGTTAATTTGCTATAATAGGATGCAAGTATAATGAAATCTGAGGCAGAAGATTAGAGGAAAAACAAAATGAAGACGTGAACTGAATGCAGTCGGTGTTTGGAGCAGCAGCAGAGCTGCAGGGGGTGAGGTGGATGTGTAAGGGAGATGAAAGACTAGGACGTGTGACAACAGAGGACGAGGAGGGAGAAAAGGCAGCAGAGCAGAGCAGAAGCCAGGCAGCAGGAACGGATCATCTGGGAGCCAGGTGTGTGTCATTTATCTTGTCTCCTCTGCAACTGAGCCCTCTCTCTCCTCCCTGACAGTGCTCCTAGCTGTATTCAGGCATGACTTAACATTCAACCGACTTTTATGAAAATGTGTTATGTAGAGGTGGGAGTGTAACCGGTTAGCAATGAGGGAAATTCACACAGATGGCATCATGACACCAAATTGTACTTTACTCTCGACAGTGACACACATCACAGAGAGCTGGGAGGCAGCGGCTAAGCACAAAGGCAGAGCTAACAAGAATAGCTGTGACTGTACTGTTTCATGTGAAATCTTATTTTTCCCAACCCCCTCTGATCCAAAATCAAATCAACAAGTAAATAAAAAAACACCCTGCAAACCACAACCACTGCTGCAAAATTACAGTACTTTATTTTTCAAAGTGTCGTGGAGGAACTCACTTTGGCGGTGGTGTACTGGCTCTGCTTGGACTTGGTCTTTGGCGTGGTGAGGCTGGATGGGGTTGGGCACCTGGGCCGGGTTTGGGGGCAGAGGAATCCCCTTCAAGTGTTCGTTGTCACCCTTCACATTATCAGGAGCTGACAATAAGAAAGACACTTAGGTTCTGTGGTGTGTATGACAAAAATAAAATATCAAAAGGCTTGTGTTCTTTAATATAGCACCCTCAGTTTTGAAATAAGTTACACAAGAAAGGGAAAACTGCCATCAAAGCCTGTGCCAAGATAAAAATTCTCTGCTTTTACCTTCATTTAACTAAACATTCAGTAAAATTACCATACTTAAAGGAATTAAATCAGCAAAGCTAAGTTTCAATTAAGCCTGAGAATGAATTATCACACGCCTAAAGGCTTAAAGACAGACTATTATAATTAATACCATATATATGGATGTGGTGCATTCTGTACCTCGCAGTTGTCTCTGCTGCTCTCCCAGTTCGTCTGCCTTGATACCTGCCTTGTTGTCTTCTTCAAACACTATCGGTTTGTCTGCCTGTTTGATGATGCCCGGAGGTGCGACCACCGCCGCTCGGCCCTCCACTCGGTCCTGCTGGAGCCTGGGCTGGTCCAGAGACATACCCTGCCCCCCGGGGCCGTCGGCTGCCCCGACTCCAGGTCCGGCACCGGCTCCCACGACCACATCAGGGGCCTCGTCATGCTTCTGAGTGATGGCTGGTTTCTTTAAGGCTGTAGATAAAAGGAGCAGCACAGTCAGAAAGCTTGGAAAGTTCTTTTTTTAGGCAACGCAAGGGAGTGGACCCTGCCACAGCGCTACGCACAGCTGTAGGTTATTGTGACTCACATCTGTGGTCTGTTGGTTGTTTTTTTCCACCAGTTTTGGTTTCAATTTACAATTTTAAACAGGTAATTTGATGTGTTTGTACAGTCTGAGTATACTTTTCTCACTCTTGGCTGTTTCTAGTCTTAATAAGTTGCAGGTTCAAAATCATAAGGCAGCAACTGAGTCCATATTTAAAACCTAATCAGTCTCTACTCTAATAAGTCACTGTAAATGTAGGCTACATACATTCTACGTAATTTTTGCCACACATTAATTCACTGGGTTTGCAAACCACAATTAAAAGTTAAGTACCACTGCTTACCAAATTGCACATCGTCGATTTTTCCTACTTCACTGTCTTCAATACCAGGCATGCCAGCGTCACTGCCAGGCTTACCCATCTCTTCTGTAACAGAGCAGAAGGAAAGTGACTTAGGTAATGGTTTGACAAGCTCCCTTTTACACAGTTAAAAAAACACAATCAAATACTACTACACAGTGTGTGTGTGTGTGTGTGTGTGTGTGTATCGCAATATAAGGAAGAACAATCAAGACTGTCCGAGTGTTGGTTGACATGGTCACACATCTACTGTACCTTTTAAATCCGGGTTGTCATGCTGGTGAGTGGCCACTGTATGGCGCTCTCCAGTCATCTCCACACCTTGTGCTCCCTCTGCATGTCTACCTGCCACTGCACCCTTCTGGCTGTCTATTACACTCTGAAAAATGATTAAAGGCCAATCAGAAAACAGAGCAAATGCAAAACTGAAAGAAGAAGACACTGAATTTAATTTGGCTGTAACTGTTTGTACATCTGTGTTAAAAATCTTGCTTCAGTGCTGAATAAATGCAATATGTAGCAGGAGGCAGGGGGGGCACAACCTTACACCATTTTCTAAAGAGTCACGAGAATGCTCTCTAGCTCGTCCGTGGAGATTTTATCAATACTAACCTGTCTTAGCTTTGATGCTTCTTCCTCCAGGGTCTTCTTTGTTTCTTCACACTCCTCCTTCAGCTGTGCAATTTGACGTCCACACTGCAAACTAGTGAACACAGATTCCTTGTTACTTTCACCCACATTGTCTGTGATTTTCTTCACCTTACTAGGAAACTAATCTGTGCAAACACGTGACAAATACATTTTTGAAAAACTGCAAAGCTGAGCTATGGTTAAATCTATTCTGAAAATCTTGTGACACCCAATGTAAGCGAAACATCACTGAGATTAGATCAGCCTTGTAAAGCGATAAGGAAATAGGGAAATTAAGGCAATGACCTAACAACCTGATTATACTGAACGTTCTGTTCAAAAACCAATAACTGTCATAATAATGTGTAATTTGAGAAGCACAAAGTCATATTTTGTGAAATAACTTAGACATCACGACACAGATCATTGAAGTGGGGGGAGTTTTAAGTGATGATGCAGTTTGTTATGCAGTGTTTGGAAGCACAGGCTTTATTAACTGGTGCTGAATTAATCAACTGGATCATTCTAACTACAGGGTGCAACTGTTTGATTCTTTTAATGTGAAATATAAAAACACCCACAAGGTAGTTCTGCTGTGTTGCTTATTAACATTTTTTTTAGAGAACTGTACTTGTTTTTCACACATTTTATGTAGTTTTTACCTGTTGGAGGGCTGTTTAGATGTGCTAGAGAAAAAATAAAATAGACCATCCACTGGTTGAGCAGAGCAATGCCCGGCTCTTGTGGTCAGTGTTGTAGCTTTGGTTGATTGTAATGGACACGCTCTGCTGCAGGCATGCCGCGGCACACGTCTCATTAAGCTCACAAGAAATTCTAAAAATTCGACATACCTCTCATACTCCAGTTTTCTTTCCAAGGTAGTGCTGTTTTTCTTCACTTCTCTTAGCTGCTCTTCTTGTTTCATGAACTCCTGCTTCAGCTCCTTTAGCTGCTCTGTTTGCAGCAACACAAACACACACACACACACATAATATTTTAGTTAGTTCTTGTCTGTTAAATGCAATATAATTTTAAAAGAGACTTTCTATCATTACAAATCATCTGTTGAGGGATTTAGTGTTGGAGGTTGCCCTCTGGTGGCCACACAGGGTTAAAGGCCTACCTTTAAGCCTCTGGATTTCTGTCATTTGGGCTGTGACATCACCCTGCACCTTCATCTGCACACAAGAGAGACAACAGGTTCAGGACTCTTATCATCTGAAGGAGAGCTACAAACATTTGAATTCTTCAACACCTCAAATCACGCAGCAGCAGCCTACTCAGAGTTCCCTGCTAAGCCATAGATGTCTAAACAGTGCAACAGGTTTTCTAATTAGTAGACAGTGCTGCCATTAATGCAAGGAAAACTAGGAACAAACAGGTTCGTCTTGTTTTATTGTATAACAAAGCTTTAGGTGGCACCCACTGTGACACGTTAAGTAGTAATTGCTACGAGGCAATGTGCTCCTGCCTATCAAAACCAGTATGGGGTATTAGACATTAACCACATGCCTGATTGCTGAGATCATGCGAAGGGATTATGTTTTAGGATTTACATGGGGACCACAAAAATAAATATCTCACAGCAACATGCAGAAAACACCAGCGCAGATGTTAGTAGCTCATAACATAGCTGGTTTATGATCTTTTTTCATTTAACTCACACTGAGAGATCAGGAAAATAGAAACCCCTGTACGCTGTAATGTAACCCAAGACAACAGCTCTGTAACACACAATACTGATGTGAAGCTGAAGGGAGCAAGTAGTAAAGGAGGGAGGCAGAGGAGATAGAGGAGGCCTTGGACTTTGGAGTGATAGCTGAAATCGATCTTTTGAGTATCCAAATACGCATCAGTTTCCACACTTTGATCTTAAGATGGTGACAAAGTTTCAAAGCAGACGAAAAGTATTGAAAAGTGCACCAAAGATCGCAGCCTCATTATGTTACAAAAATGACTGCACTGTCAAAATACAGATAAGTGCAGACACAATTTCTTTAAGAGCTTTGAGGGGGGAATATCACAGAAAATTAAGTGCATAAAGCCATATTTTGGCAAAACAACGACTGCTTTGTGATCATCTGAGTTCGTGAATAAGTTATACCTTTAATTGATTTAGACAGAGGGCGGTGAGGGAAGAGCGGACAGGAAGTACAGCATCAATGTCAAGTGTTGTAAAAACCGAAGTTTCATCCTGTCACTCCCTTACATGTGGTTAATAATTTCCCCTGCAGCCTGCTGATACTGGCCATATAGCCAATAACACGGCCAGACAGACTATAAGACAGCATAATTCATTCTTGTGCCTAATGGGTGCACGACTGTATACTGTACTGTGTAGAAGCCAGTCAAGAACTCAACTGTCCCTACTTTCTCTGCAATGCAGGCCTCTCACTGTATGTAGCATGCATCTCTGTTGAAAAAGGGCTGGGCTGTTGACAAAAGAAGGGAGTGGAACAACTGCTATTCAACACCTGCCCTTATCTTGATTACGGAAACAGGGAGCTGGATTCTGAAGTTACGACCATGAAGCCAGGGTGCTCAGACTCCTCTTTGTTCCACACATCAGCATCTATACTTGCCTTAACAACAAAGTATAACCTAATCTTTAACTAGATCTGTGCACATGATTATGTGACTTGATACTGTAGGGTTTTATTTTGTTTATTTTTAATGTTTGCATGTATATTGTTTGACTACATGACTTAATCTCTTATGCAAACAGTGTAACAGTGTCAAACAATTCAGCTAGCCAAGAGGGATTTTAGTGTCATAAATACTGAATAGACATTTGGAATAAAACATAAAATAGTCAGTAAAACACGTCAGTTTGTCGCAGATGAGACAGTGCCAGCAGAACGGGCAGTGAAACAGACGGCTAACTGTTACAGGGCCATTGTTTTGCTATGATTTGATTTGGCCACAGAAAATTGGATTGGCTCATAAACACAGTGTGTGATGGTGAGCAGGAGAAAAGATTCAGAGTGGGAAATCGTTTGAAAAGAGTCATCTGACGAGTGACTCTTGCTGATTTCTCCATCCAAGATCATTTTTATGTAAATGGGTGTTAACTTTTTATGAGCACTGGCTGGTTTTAGTTTCAGACCTTGTTTGTTGAGCATGTATAAACATTTCTCTATGCATGTGTGGCCTATTATAAGTAGTGTTATCTTGCCCGTCACTAGGTAACCGACTCCACTCAAGAAGATGATAAAAAGGTTGATGTATTGTGGTTGAGGACAGCTTCTCAGCATATGTTGAGCAAAACAAAAAACTGTTGCTCACGGCCTTCCTCTTATTCCTGCACATTATCTTGCTGCCTGTCATCTATCAGACTGGCATAAAGTCGTTGTTTGCTTCTTAACAAAATGATATTTAATGTGTTCTAGTTTAGTTCTACTGGGTGGACTTTGCAAACCAGCAGTGGTTCAACTATGACACTACACCACATGTTAAACAAATGTATGCCTGTCCATGAGAAATAAGCATGCGAGACTGAATGCAAATTACAGGAAAACCTCCCCCTCCATCTGTTGTCTAATTGTCTCCCAGGGCAGCTGGATGCACACTAATGTTCAGAGGGTGCTGGGACACAAAACACAGTGAATTGCTGGCTGGGCCACTGCACAGAACAAGAGGTGGGAATAGTCTTGTGGAGCATACAGACGCGCCACACTTCAATACATTTTAAGTGGCTCAGAGGCACGGGCACGGTGAAACAACTCCATTATAAATTTTTCTTCCAAAAAACTAAAGGGACAAATATTAAAACACAGTGCTGTGATTAAAAAATACTGTATTTGTGGAGCAGAACTCAGGCTCTGACGTGAATGAGTTCCCAGTGAAGGACGGGTTGATGTGTCACCTGCCACTTGGTACCATAGACCTCCTGAAACAAGACAAATTGCTCTCGCCATGATGACTATGACCTTGCCTTTTTTGAGCTGATAAAATTACCCAAAATCTCCCTCCATCACGAGTTAAAGTTTTCATGTACATGCCACTATGATATAGAGTGGGGAGATCAAAGCAATATAATGTAGATACTGTGATGAGACTAGATGTGGTGTGATGATTTTGGATGTTGTAATATTGCACAATATCATAGGAAAATTGTCACAATCTAAATGTATGTGAGTGGCTTTGATAATAAACAATGAACCTGCTTTGTCCTCATATTCCCATGACTATTTGCTCTCTCAGAGAACACACACCCACCCCTATATTAAATATTGAATGAGCATTAACATTCCCAAACAATACACACTATTGAAACAGAGGTAAAAAGTCAAAAAACTAATATTCTCACTTTGTCATTGTCACTTTGTTTCACCTGAAAATGGTGCTGTCAAAGGGCTTATCCCTGTCTGTGGAAACTTTGATCACCTGTTCCTACGTGTAGCACACATGTGCCCTTTGATCATTTCACCTGCTTCCAGATATCAGTTAATAAAACCGTGGTTTACCTTTTCATCAGTGCACTTTTTGATGAGCGCCTCCCGGGCCTGCAGCTTGCCCTCCAGGACGCTGTAGTCTCCATCCTTCTGGTCGATCTGCTTCCTGTGCGTGTCCACCTGCACCATCAGCTCCGAGTTCCGCTTCTCCAGCCGGCTCCGCGCCGCGTCCGTGCGCTTCACCTGTGTCTGCACCTCCGCCAGCTCATCCAACAAGCGGCCGTGCTTGTTGGTCACTGCCCAGTAGTTGAAAGACAGTATGGCGATGATCACCATCAAGAAGATGAGGATGAAGGACGGGAGGCGGCCACCCCGTCGGTTTGCACCAAACCCAACCATTTCCAAAAAAAAAACCCCAAAGTGTTCACGTTACTTCTTCAGGTTGTTACCGCAACCTTACAGAGCTCAATGAGAGTAGGCTCCGGCTGTAAAACACATCCGTCTACGTGACATGCCGTGTATATGCGGCAACCGCTCGAGAAAGCAAACACTACAGTTACACAGACAGACAGTCATGAATGTACGAGACTTTTTCACATTTCTACTGAGCTTTACTCTCCTTCCTCCTTCCGCACACTGGGCATCTTCTCTGTAACTCGTCCAATGTCAGTAGGTTAGATGAAATACGCCCGCAGGGACGTGGCCTAGCTCAGCTGGCAACGTTAAACACAGCAGACGAGACTAGACGTGGACAGCTAACGTTACACGGCACCGTGGCAGTGAGGAGTGCACATACAAATCATACAGCTAGCTATATAACGTTAGCATTCAGCTACTTCCCTCCAGTGGTCCTGTTGTGAGGTCTGTAGGACTGCACACACTGACGCTTGGAGCTCCGTTAATTACAGAATCGCCGTCAAACAAGACCACTGATGATTTTCGGTACCGACCTGACGTTAATGTTAGCTCCTACTGACGTTAACGCTGTCCAGCTAACCACTCCGCACAAGCTAGCAGCAACGGTAGATGCGCGAGCACAATTAGCGACCGTCACACAGAAAAGTATCGTCTCTTCTTGCGGAGGAAAGATGTATTTCTTCTAATTAAACGAACAAAATCCTAACAAATATTAAGGACACAGGCTTTGTGTCACTCTCTCCACCTTTCGCTGCCGACCAAACTGCGCTGGGTGAAGCTAGCTGCAATCCGCATGCGCAACTTCCGGTTTCTTCTACAGGAGCACAAATTAATTTCAAAATAAAAGACCAAATTGAGCACAAACAAAGCTAGGCATTTATCTTTTGATTATCTTGCCTTTGGATTTGCTTTATGTATTAAAGCCAGGCTGTAGGCTTAAAGTCTATACTTTTATTATAAATTATAAACAAAAATCATTGACCACACGGTGACAATACTATCACATATATAAAAACACGGCAACTCAGCGCCCCAAAACCGGAAGTACGCGGCCGACTGGAAGGACACTTTACACATATAATGACATAAGGGTCCAGATTTTTTATATTAAGCAAGTGTTGCGTGTTAGTCTTGAAAACTAAAGCCTACAAATGCATTGCCACGAGTCAGCTTTTCAAAGCAACATAATTAATCCATTGAAACCGGGTACACATACCTTACTGCTCCTGACCACCTGCAGAAAGAAAAATCCACTGTGTAAACTCAAACACTCCTCCCTCTTATCAAATGAGTGAAGACAAAATGTGTTCTCTCCAAAAATAAATAAACAAAATGTCATTTTAAATGGACAGGCAGCATAAGGAAGTCAGTTTGTGGCCTATAATCCAAGTCTAACACTGTCTTCATGCAATTTAACGCAATATACTTAGAGATACTTGCTGCCTGATTCTGTGGTTTTATTTTTATTTATTTATTTTAAATAACAGTAGGCTTAAATTAGCCTGGATGCAGTCTCTGCACTCACTGACTAACTGGAGGGTTGTGCAGAATATTAATTACTAGATAGGTACACACCAAATGAATAGGTGGACTATCTGGAGTCTCGCCACCTCTGACTTTAAACTAACTGTTGCCAAACATCTATTAAAGCTCACATATTGCCATAAGTGGTATTCATCTTAGGGTAACTCCCTTGCCATTGTAACTTTAGTCTAATTGCTGTAAATAATTGCCAGTATTTCAGTCACAAGCATGACAAATTCAGGCAATTCTGCAAGGGAAAAGTCTGACAAATCATGATCTGAAAGCTGCCTGACATGAAAAACAGCGGTCACAAGTTGGCTCTAACCAACACTGACTAAAATAAACATCACTGGGTGTTTAATTAAACAACACTATTAAATAAAACATCACAAACTTGAATAAAAAAAACATATTATTAGCTTCACCAAACTGACATTTATGGCAATGCTATTGTATCGTCCTGTGTTCTATTATTTTGGCCACCCCTATGTGTCTGAGGTGAGCAGAAGTTCAGAATGCTAACACACACAGACTGACACACGATCCACAAACACGCACTGAAATAAGAACACGCACCACTTGATACAAACTCATATTTTATTGTAACACTGATAAGAATTGTAACACAATGAGGTAAGTTAAATACTCCACATCTGTGATGTTCTTGAACCAGCGGCACCACAAAATATTCACCACCCTATCAGTAACAGTTCCACAAAGTCTGCAAACAATGGCTAGCAATGCCCAGTCCGTTCAGTTCACAGTTTAATACAAACATATTTCTTCCGGCGTCTTATGAGGACAAGAGGAATACTGATAACACGATTTCCTTTGTCTTTTGAGTCACAGATCCAAACTTACCAGCTGTTTGTTTGTTTCTTTTTTTTCAGAGATGAAACTCGGTAGAAAAGGTCCCCTGAGGGAGAAACATTCTTTTGTTTTTCTGATGAGAAAGAAGCCACTACAGACACTGGCAGGCTCAGTCTGAGTTTGCTACCATTTCTGCTGATGACTTGGCACGGTCTCACAGGGCACTAGGAGATACAGTATGAGACCATTTCAGTTTGCCTGTGCTGCAGTCACACTGTGAAAATAAACCATCCTTCAGTGCTAGAAGAGTTATTCATTGCTCTACAGACACCTGCTGCACAGCACAGCATGGCTGCAACACCAGCACCCTGAAATGTCCTCAGAGCTTTGACCCGAGTCCTTGTTGGGAGAGTGGTCAGAGAATAGTTTCTTTGCACTCAAGGCTTTGTTCAGAGGAGGGGGAGTCCAGTGGGTTGGTGGAGGCGCTGGTTGTTTGTGGGAGGTGTTTTGGACGGCGCATAGAAGGGGACGAACTCAAAGCACCGCAGCTCTGAAGGTGAAGATCCTCGTGGCCGCGCTTTCTGGGACTGCCAATGATGCGCTGGGTCATCACCTGTGCAGCAAAAATAGCCAAGAGTCAAAGAGAGAGACACAGTTTGCTTTTACATAGCAGTCATATGATTAAACCATCCACTTTTATCCATGTTTTCTGGTGTGTAGTGAGCTACTAGCCTGATACTCATAGTCTTGAATGCTGATGCTCACCATAAACTAGAAACAGGCTAGGAAACTGCTGCTTTGCTTTAACCACTACACATTATACACACTCTCTCTGGTTACCTGATCTATGACATTGGCACTAAAAATGGCCTCCTCCATGTGTTTCTCATCCGACTTAATGACACACTTGATGTTGTTGACAACCTGCTGGACTTCAGGAGGTAGACTGCAGCTCGAATGCTCCAGGAACTTTGCCACCAGCACTTTGGTATCTTTGTACATCTTAAAGTCAGCCAAGGAGTGCGGGCGTTCATGGGAGGAGTGCGAGTGCAGGGCGCGGGGTTTAAGGTGGATGTCGACTTTCCTGCCCTCCTTTTGCGGCTTCCTGACACTTGTGTGACTGGGTTTAGCTCCAACCACGCCTGTTGTGACATCTGTTGGCTCTGAAGGTAAAGACAGAGAAAAATAAATTAAATCATATATAATTCTTACAATCAGGGCTAATACCTGTGGAGTTGGTGCTTTAGGTAAAGTGGAATCACAGTTTTGTGTTGCTGGCGTAACACAATCTTATTATCACCTCAGTTATAATTAATTTCAGATTTTTTTTAATTTCAAGCTTTGTGACAATGCCTTCTTTAGATAATGGGCCCCATGGTGTTTTAAATGTTTTATATAAGAATATTTAATCCTTTAGTTCATCTAGACATTGTTTTAATCATCAAATTTGAAGATGCAACATGGTTTTCATTTGACAGTCATGATAACTAACAGTTGTTTCAGTGAAATTTGTTTTATTAGCTCTCTTCACTGCCTCTGTGTTTCATAAAAAAAGATGTGAAAGCTGTTTATTAGCAAGCGTCCCACGACTCCCACCATTACAGGAATTCACAGTTGCTATGATAGTACCTTGCTCTGGTGATGCATGAGTTGAATCCTCAGCAGCAGGGTTGTTTGCAGAGGCGCAGCCACAATTTTCTCCTGCAGAGGGAGACAAGAAACTGAGTGTGGACACAATAAAGCAAGCACAAGCTGTTGCTGGTTAGCAAGTCACCACTGCTCATTGACAATGAGAGGCTGCCTTAATGTTTAGTTTCATTATAAATTAATCTGACGATGAGTTTCTTGTTTGATGTATTATTTGTTCAGTCTATAAAATGTTAAATGCAAGGCGATGTCTTCAAATATCTTGTCAAAACCCATTGAGAGAATGCTATAAAACAGAAAAGAGGATCAAATGCTTACATAAGAGAATCTGGGACCAGTGTGAGTTTGGACTCTTTTGCATGTAAAATGACTCAAAAATGATGGACTAGTTGACTAATCACTTAAAGGCACAGTGTGTAAGAATTTAAGGGGATTAAGTGGTATCTAGCAGTGAGGATTGGAGATTGCAACCAGCTGAAACTTCTCCTGGTTGGAATTCCTTCAGTATTCCTGTGTTTAGGAGATTTTTACCATGAGCCGAATTATCTACAGAGGTCTCTTCCTCTCCAAAACAAACGGACAAAGTGATTAAAACCGGTACCAGCACTGAATAAAGCAGTGCCACATCAGAAATCAGTGTTTTTCTGATGCTGTTTGGCATGTCGAGACGGACCGCTAGCCCAGCACCTGCTAATGTGATTACCGTTTTATTCTGATAACTTAAAATCAAGACATTCCAGAGGTTTTTACCAACAGCCGAATTATCCGCAGAGGTCTCCTCCTCTCCAAAACAAATGGACAAGGTGATTAAAACCAGTAACGGCACTGAATAAAGCAGTTTCATGTTGAAAATCAGTGTTTTTTCAATGCTGTTTGGCATGTCGGAGACGGCCTGCTATCCCAGCACCTGCTAATGCACTCATCTTTTCTCTCTGATTAAAAAAACCTCCTGCTCCCTAAGTAGATATAAACTGCTCATTCTAAGGTAACGAAAACACATTTCTTATTTTCAGGTGATTATACACTAAAGAAAACATACTTGCTATATTCAGTTTCTGCCAAAATATCCCCCTAAATCTTACACACTGAACCTTTAAGCTCTAAAGACTGATCACTATAGTAATTAGTAAATGGAGTATTTAAGCTGCAGTATAGGTCTTATGTGAAATCCTTGGTGCACTCACTTCCTGCCGTAGAGGAGCAGGAGATAGGGTCACTGGTGGAACGGACTATGCGTGCCAGCTTGCGGTACCTCCTGGCTGCTCGGAGCACTCGAGGCCTCTCTGAGGGCGAGTAGCCACTCTGGGCTGAGGTAGAGGGGGGTTGTGATGTGGAGGAGGGTGACCAAACACTGAAACACAGCCTGGGGCCACGTGGCCTGCTGGGAGGGGAGGGGGAAGGAGATGGAGCCATAGGACTGATGGCTGAAGTCCCACCAGAGGAGGCCACGGAGGTGGGGGAGCAAGGCTGAGGTGGCGGGGGGATGGTGACGGGGAGCGTAAGCTTCCGGCTCATCATTCGTGCCTTAATTAGGGAGTGTGTTGACGCTTTAGGTGGCTCCTCTGGTAAATGTTTGGCTGATGCAAGCTCGTCACATATGTGCATTGCAGCCCTGAGTTCCTCACATGGATGTGTGCTGTCTGTGGAATCCTCCTGGTCCAGATTGCTATAGTTTTCTGAAGACCAGTCCGGAGAGCGCTCCAGAGACTCTTGGGTGTGTGAGGACTCGCTGTAACCTGTATCACTGGGGCGAGCGTCAGAATTAGCTTGACCACGATGGCAACGGGGGTCACGTGT